TCTCTCTCTCTCTCTCTCTCTCTCTCTCTCTCTCTCTCTCTCTCTCTCTCTCACACACACACACACACACACACACACACTGTTCTTGAAAGAAGTTTGAGTTAAGTGTAGGGATTTTTTTCCCACTTGTTGACCAGCGCCCTTATGCACATTGTTCGACTGTGTTCTGCTCCCCACTCTATCTCTGGTGAATCCCCTCACCCCCCAAACCTCTCACCTATATCCCAGTTCTTGTATGTATAAATCTTTTTTTAAATCAGCACCCTTATAAATTGGCATCCTTGATAACTTCCCATCATTCCCACCAGCACATTCTGTTATGAGGTAGATGCTGTTTTAGTCCCTGTTTTGCTGATGAACACAAGACTCAGGCAACTTGAGTAATGTGCTGCTGGTTTTTTATAGTAAATTCCAACAAACATACCCATTTAAAACAGCACACGTTATCTCAGTTTATATAGGTCACATGTGGCACAAGTCCAAGTTCTTTGCTCCCTGCCCCCTGCCGTAGAACGTAGCAGCAGGTGCAAGGTGGCTCCTTGCCACATGACCCCTTCAGTGGCCCTCTCACAACATAGCAGCTGATTCTTCAAGGCCAGCAACAGAGTTTCTAATCTGGAGAGGGCAGCAGACCTCTTTCAAGGGCCTATCTGACTAAATCTGATCCACCTACTCTCTCCTTTTATTAACTTAAAATCAACTGATTAGGAAACTTTGTGACATATAAAATCCATTTGGTCATATAATGTAGCATAATCACAGGGTTAATGTCCTAGATAATATTGGGTTGGTACACCAAGGGAATGGGAATCTTGAGGATCATCTTAGAATTCTCATTACCAGTGAGCACAGTTACCAGCACACTATTGATAAAACATTGTCCTCTTGGAGCATAGCAAGCATTGAAATCATTGAGCTGTATGCCTCTCAATGACAAAAAGTTCACACCCCCCCCAAAAATTTATATACATTCCAAATCCCTGATATTTTTTAAATTATATAACAGTCAGTGCTGTTGAAGTTAGTATAGTGTTCTTTAACATTTTAAGGGACAAACATGAGAATATAAAATAATGCATACTACTGTTAAAAATACGTAGATTAGAAAACATGATGGTGCAACGTAGTTAATTTAAATTTCTGGTTTTCTTTTTTTAAGTTACATTTTGAATTTTTATATTTTATTTATATATGTATTTTTTTAAAGATTTATTTATTTATGCTTACAGAACTGGGGCACAAGACAGAGGTGTGGTGGGTGAGAGGATTCACCAGAGACAGAGTGGGGAGCAGAACAGGCAGGTCTACTGAAATACACTGCTGAGGGGAGCAGTCGTCAGGTCAGGAGAGGTCTGCCACACCATGTGCGTTAGCTCCCTAGCAGGAATCGAACTCGTGCTGCAGTGGCTTAGGAGAGCTTCATAGTGTGGTTGTGCCACCAGGGAGAACCCTATTTACATATATATTTTTTTTAAGATTTCTTTATTTACGCATACAGAACTGGGGTACAAGCCAGAGATGCAGGGGTGGTGAGAGGCTTCACCAGAGACGGAGTAGGGAGCAGATAAGATAGAACTATTGAAATACACTGCTGAGGGGAGCAGCGGGCCGGTCAGGAGAGGTCTGCTGTGCAATGTGGGTCACCTCTGGGCCAGGTGGGGATCGAACTCCTGCTGAAGTGACTTTAGCTTCTTAGTGCTGTGCTTTAACCCACTGTGCCACCAAGGAGGACCAAAATTTATCATTTTTAAAGTATAATAATTTTAAAATAATTTACATACAAAGAAGCAGATGATAAATGTTAATTATTGTTGACAGTAATGCTATAGAAGTTAAGAGTAGATGTTTATGTAATAAGAGTTTTCCTTTAGGTGTAAATAAGTTACACCTGTAGGTGTAAATAAGTAAGTAAGATTCACTCCTGGTGTCTAGGTGTTAAGTCTCAGAGCTACCACCTGAGTTCAATCCCTGACCAGGGAGCTGAAGAGCTGACCCATATGGCACAGTAGGCCTCTCCTGTCTAGCCGGCTGTTCACCTTAGTGGTGTATTTCAGTAGGTCAGCCTATTCTGCTCCCTATTCTGTTTCTGGTGAATCTTCACACCTTAATCCCCAGCACCTCTGGCCTACACCCTACTTCCTCTACATAAAAACTAAAATAAGAAAAATTATGAGATAATTATCAAAATTTATAATAAATGTTGCCCCAGAACCAGTTCCTTTTCTGTAGCTTGTTATCTGCTCAGTGTATAGCATTGTGTTGTCTTTGAAGAGGACTGAGTCTTTTCCCCAGATATGGCTTATTCTCATTTAAATATAAAGCCTTTAATATTGCCTTAGAAACTCATTTAAAATCTTAAGAATCACTGGAATAGTCTCTTCTGTCATAGGAGAGGAAATATGATGTTGCTGTCTATTTCTGTTGACACCCTTTAGCAGCCCATTATTTTCAACTATTGCAAAGTAAATTGGTAAAATATTCCTATTTGTGGTAGACTGAATAATGGCCCCCAAATCTGTTCATATCCTAATTCCTGAAACCTATGAATGTCATTTTGTATGGCCAAAGTACTTTGTATGACAGAGATTTTTTTAGATGCACTAACAATTAAGGATTTAGAGATGAGGAGGTTATCCAGATTTACCTATGTGAGCCCACTGTAATCAAAACAGTTCTTGTGGGCAGGAAACGGGAGAAGTCAGACATGCTATAATAAGACCAGTGGATCTGAACTTGGTTTCAAATTAACAGCATCAGCATCAACTGGGAACTTGTTAAAAGTGCAGATTCTGGCCTTCTCTGTGGTGCAATGGGTTAGGAAGCAGCATTGCAAGCTAGCTGCAGCCGGTTCAGTGCGAGTTTGATCCCAGCCTGGGAGCTGACCCACGTGGCATGGAGACCTCTCCTGACCGGCCTGCTTCTCCCTTTAGCATTATACTTTGTCATTCTGCCTGTTCTCCCCACTCTGTCTCTGGTGAAACCTCTCACCATCCCTGCACTCTGGCTTGTACCCCAGTTCTGTATGAATAAATAAAATAAATCTTTTCTTTAAAAAAGAAAGAAAAAGAAAAGGCACAGTTTTAAAAAATAAAATAAAAATGCAGATTCTCTGAAGAAAAAAAAAAAGAGAAATGCAGATTCTCTCAATCTGCTCCAGAACTGCTGGATTGGAGACTCTGGTGTTGAAAGCCAGCCATGTATGTTTAACCAGACCATCTGTAACATGCTGAAGCTGAAGAGCCAGTGATCTAGACTACGTTTTCTACCCCTCCTTACTGGATTGGGCCTAGTGGTGTAATGCTGGGAAAGCTCTGTCTGGTGGCCTGTCAAATGTAATTTGTGACTTCTCCTTTCTGCCTGAGTTCTATCAGACTGTAATCACTTAAACAACGTAATTGAAAAATCGCTTATATTTATTGCTGGAGTTAAATGTGTTTTGTATTTAAATAACCACTTTTGATTAGAGTCATATTTTGTTAAAAGTGGTTGGTTTTTATCTGTATGCTATAAATATGTTTATAAAAATTCATCAAATTTTCTAGCAGTAACTAACGTCCTACTCAGCATTAGGTAAAGTATTTTATGTCAAATCTCATGTTACATAATGACAAAATGAAGGTTATTTGAGGTGACTGAATTTTCGGCTCACTATACAAAATCAAACATTTTTAGATATTAACATCTAAGTTTTTGCTGTTTATTTACAACTCTTGACATCTTGCTTAAGTAGCATGTAGCAGTACTTTCTTTTTCTTATCCTTATGGATTTGTTGAAATGTAGATTGCTTGAAAATGGGTATAGTTTTGTGTCACCTATCTGTTTAGCTGTATGAATACTATCATTTATTCTTTATGAAAACAAAACAACATCCTTGTTTTGGTAAACATAAATCATGGATTTCTTAAATAACTTATTTCATTGTACTCTTATTTGACAAGTGATCTTTTGGTTCCTTTAGGTATCCAATAAGAAAAGTACTCTTCAGTCTTCATCTGTGCAATTGGAAGGTTCCTATTTGAGTGTAGCCAAACCACAGACCTGTCAAACCAAGCAAAGGCCTAAATCTGCGAACCAGGAGTCAGCTGCAGAATCCTTTATGGATTTTAGGAATAATTCTTTGAAACCAGCAGTCCTTAATTATCCCAAAGAAGACCTAGACACGGTACTGTCAGAGAGCAGAACATGTAATTGTGGGTCCCCTGGCAAAAAAATAGTAGATGCAATCCCTACAAAGAAGATTCCACCAGAGGACCTGAAAATGAAGGAATGTCCATGCCTTAAGCATACTCTGTCTAGTCAGTGTTATGGTCATAGACTTTCAGAAAATGCAGATCATTTTCACGAAAGCCAACCGTCAGTTATAGCCCCTCAGTATTCCAAGACACATCTGGAATCATGCAGTTACTGTGGGCTTTCATGGGCGTCTCTGATGCATGACCAAGGGGCACTGCAACCTAGTGAAGAAATTGATATCAAAAAGCAGCTATCAGAAGATAGAAGACAGCAACTTATGCTTCAGAAATTAGAACTTGAAATTGAAAAGGAACGCCTTCAGCACTTGCTAGCCCAGCAGGAAGCAAAGCTTCTCCTAAAACAGCAGCAACTTCATCAGTCTCGACTGGATTACAATTGGTGAGTTCTGCCTACTCGTACAGCAGTGTCTATAGCTTGCAGAACATAGTGTCTGTATTATCATAATAGATGTGTGGGAACAGAATTCCTTGAGATCTCGACTATTCAAGATGCACAACAAATGTAACTACTCAGTAAATTCCATTGTCTTCTTTGGAAGACTAAAAAGATTACCTCATTTTCCAAAATGTTAGATCATAATACCAGCTTCTGATCAGTCCAGTATAATTTTTGCTGGATTTCCAAGACAATATTTTTAAGTGTTATTACCATTACACAAAATCCTTTGCTATTTGATGTCTCTAGAGGAAATATTAAGCAATGAGTAAAAAAAAACTTGAGGTTTTAGGATGTGGAATGAAATTGTGATAAACGGATCAGCAGTTATCAAGAGACCCCCTTTAAAATCAATCTTTTCCTGTCACAAAGCATAACCTATTCAATCACCAATACTTACAAACTTACCCACATTTAGGCCATTCTTCTCCTAACATTTCTTCTCAAACGACAGTGTTCTAAAAGCTGATTTTCTAGTTTGGTATTTAAATTTGTTTGGCATAGTGGTAGGAGTGTGGCCATTTCCTTTGATCAAACTTAACCATTTCCCCTTTGTAGTCATTCTTATTAGATACATACATCCTATACAGATATATGTGTGTGTATGATATCCATGTGTGTGTGTGTGTGTGTGTATATATATATATATAGAGAGAGAGAGAGAGAGAGAGAGAAATGTATTTATAGATATGTCTACTATACTATACTAGTAAGTATACTAATGTTCTTTTCTTTTACTTCAGATTTAATTTTCTTCATTTACATATTCTGCCCAATATTTTTGAGATTCTAACTTATTTGTAAGTTCCCTCTTGACATTTCCTTCAGTGTAATACTTAGTTTTCTTAGAACCAGAAATTATCTTCCTCCTTATCTTTATTCATTGTTCTAGTCTTCATTGTCAAAACTCAGAAGTTTTTTAAGTACCTGAAAGTGAATCCTCTTACCATGAGATTGTCACCAAAGGCCAAAGTGTTGCTTTCAGTTTTTAATCCCAATCTCTGATCGTTCAGTTAATTTGTTTTCTCTCCTGTGAACGTTATTCAACAAGCATTTATTGAATGCCTATGATATGTAAAGGATAAGTCTGGGCACTTGGGATGTAAAAATATGGTCTTTAAAAGGACAGAGTCTCGGGACCTCCCTGGTGGCACAGCAGGTGAAAGCACAACACTAAGAAGCTAAAGCCACTTCAGCATGAGTTTGATCCTCACCCCAGAGGTGACCACATGATGAAGCAGACCTCTCCTGACCCGCCGGCTTCTCCCCTCAGCAGTGTACTTCAACAGTCAGCCTGTTCTGCTCCCCATTCTGTCTCTGGTGAATCCTCTCACCACCCCTGCACCTCTGGCCTGTACTCCAGTTCTGTATGCATAAATAAATAAATCTTTAAAAAAAAAAAAAAGCACAGTCTAGAGGGGGAAATGAATAATTTTATAATATATACAATTAATTTGGACAAAATTGTATAGTTAAGTCTGCATAATAATAAAGCCATTACTATCTTGATTTTTATTATTATTTTTTTTTACTATTACCTCAGATGAGAGCAATGAAACACAGCTTTTGAGAAAGTGTTGTTTGTGTATAAGTTGCAAAAATTTATACATATGCATAGGGGGTTTTTAAAACATTTTATTTTATTGATTTTTTTTTTAAGATTTATTTATTTATGCATATAGAGCTGGGGTACAGACCAGAGGTGCAGGGGCAGTGAGAGGATTCACCAGAGACAGTCTGGAGCAGAACAGGCAGATCACGAAGTACACTGCTGAGGGGAACAGTGGGCAGGTCTGGAGAGGTCTGCTGCACCTTGTGGATCACCTACGGGGTGCAGGGATGGAACTTATTCTGAAGTGGCTTTAGCTTCTTAGTGCTGTGCTTTAGCCTACTGCACCACCAGGGAGGGCCTAAATATTTTATTTTTAAGTAACTATAGATAACAGGAAGTTGCAAAAATGTGAAGGTACTGTTCACCCAGTCTAATGCCTACATCTTATGTAACCATGATACAAAATCAAAATCATTAAATTGTGTGTGTGTGTGTGTGTGTGTGTGTAGTTCTGTGCCATTTAATCATGTAGATTTACTTGGGTTGATTTTTTAAATATTGAACTAACCTTGTATTCCTCAAATAAATACATTCAGTCATCGTGCATAAGTCTTTCTGTATTATTATTGAATCCTATGTACTGATATTTTGTGAAAAACATTCATATCTATATTAATGAAAGATACTGGTCTGTAGTTTTGGACTTTTTCTAGTTTTAGTATCAAGGTAATTTCTGGGTTCATTTATTTCATTCATTTCTTTATTTTCTTCTTTCAACTTGTATTTATCTTACATGTCTTCTTTCTAGTTTCTTATTTATGGTAGGAGCTTGGATTATTGACTTGATTTTTGACTTAAGGTTTTTCTTCCTTTCTACTAGAAGCAGTTAGTGCTATCAATTTACCTTCCAGCACAGTTTTAACTATATCTCACAGATTTTGATAGATTCACTTACTCATGTGTAACTTTATCATTTATGAATTATTTTAAATTCAACCTTTTGCACATTAGTGTCATATACCAAGAATATCTATCTCAAATGAATCCTCCTAATACATATTTATTGTGCCACTTCTGAACTTTAAAACTCTTAAATAATTTTCTATTAGATTTTGTTTTTCTGCCTAATATTAAAAGCTTTTTATAATCTAGAATCACTTTTCTACCCATTTGCCTCTCTTTTTCCTCTAAAATATTTTTTCAGTCAGTTTGTCTCCTTGAGATCTTTTCAACATGCCATTCATAGCACTTCCTATTAACATATTATTTTTTTCTGATTGAAATATATTCACTTTACTTTTCTGTTTATCCATACTCCTGTCTATCACAGTGCAATTCAAATCCCAGTACTGAAAGTTTTTGTGCCTTGTCTTTTTCTCACCTCTTTTAAGTTATTAAATAAGTGCAAAATTAGCACCTAATTAGTTTGTTATTCTGTAAGCATATACGAGCACCTTGCCCTATACAAAAGTGTATGGGAAAAATAATGAAATAAACAAGACTTGATCATGTCTCTCAGTTTATTTGTAATTTCATTCTATTTTTATTTGCATTTTAGATCTCTTTATTGAACTTGTCAATTCTAATGTTCACAGAAATCCCACTTCAATTAAATTGATGAATTAATTAATATATGCTGTGTACAAGGCATTATTTATGGTGTTTAGAATGTTCAGGAGAAATACTGGGAAGGCAATCTGTAATGGAATACCAAATGACTAGCACAGACTTGTTATTTATTCAGAATTTGAAGATGAGCCTGTCATTTTGAAATAAACTTGGCATGATATTAAGATTTATTTTAATTTTAATTAATAACTCATTCTGCCACCTTGATATTGCATGATAGTCAATAAGAGCTTTCAAAAGGATATTATCTCTGAACCCTTTCCAGGTTGATCAGAGAGGACCTATCTAAATTACTATTCACGACAGTACAGAGAATCCCCTTAAATCCCTTTTTTGGAGGAAAGAGCATGTGTATAATGTGTCTGCCACTCTTGCCATATGCTGTCCCATGTACTGTATACCTGTGTTCAAATATTATCATGTCACCTTGGTAGTTTTATGTCTGAGCCTACTTTTCTCCTCTGGAAATAGGTATAGTAACCATGGCAGGGCGGATCCCTGCAGACTTTATGTGTTAGGTGCTCTCATTATATGCTAGCTGCAGTCATCCTCAACATCATCTTTGTTGTTACCACTACTGCTGCAAAGACTGCTACTATTGCTATTCCTTCATACTCTTTTCTCATAATTGCTTAATTACATCAACTTTTACCTACCTGTGCCTGCCTACTATTATTTTAAACCCTAAGTTCCTAGTGAGTCATTAATCTATGTGCCTCTCTTTGTGTGTCATTGTACATTGTTAGTTATAATTGTAAAACATCTTTTGACAACGATGGAAAGGACAATACTCTTCTAACAGTGTTTGTTTTTTTTTTTACATTTTCACAGTTTTATTTCATAGTTAAAAAACTATTCTTTTACAGATTCCATTTCAAAAACTGAACGCAAAAAAATTTCTTAAAAAGTGAGAGAATGAAAAAAAAGTGAGAATGGGGAGTAAGGGTCACATATTTGATGTCAGTGATTAATTTGCTACCCAAACTCCTGCTAGATTAGCCTCATGATAATTTCTTCAAGTGTCTTTCATCCTCAGTAAACTGAAAATGGGGCTACTTGAGCATTGGTGGATAGAAAAACTTCCAGTTCTTTTGGAGGGGGCTCTTCCATGTCTCAAAGAAAATGTGGTCAGTGAGAGCCAAGCTACTGAGCTGTCTACATGAGAAGTAGCTAACTGCTGTGGGATGTTGAGCAGGGTCAGTGACACTCAATGTTACCAGAATTCCCATTGAGATGCTGGTAATCAAAATATACTTGCTTCATTGTGTTTAGAAAGAATTTTAAAGTATCCCTTAAATTGTCTGTAATGTTGAGTTTTTAAAATGATATTTAAAAACAATTCAGTTTTTCCCCAATCCTCTACACGTAAAGAACATTTAACTTCTTCAGAAATTAACCCATGTTTGTTTATGTACATTCATTTATTTTTGATAGATTGAATTTTAATTAATAAATAATTGCTGGAGGGGGCTACCTAGAATAACATGATCTAATAAAGGTTACCATTCAGTTTATGTGATGCCACAATAATAAAACTTTTGCAAATGTATTTTTTACAGGTTAAGAACTCAAGCTGTGTTTACATCAAGAGAACTGGTTGCTGATAAAGAATTTACTAAACCCAGAGAACTCAATCTGAATATGAATGGAAGTGACTCTGGACCAAGGTAAACTTGAGTGGTGGGTACAGGCAAGATATGCATGACACAGATATTAAGGGTATGTTTGGCATATATATTTATAGTCTAAATTGATGAATTCAGCTTTCTGATTATATGAATAAGTACATCCTCATTATAAACATGAAAAATAGAGAAAAGTGTAGAGAAGAAAATAAAATGATTTATAATCTCAGACCTTCCTGAGATGACTCTTTGAACTCTTTTTCCTTTCTTTTATAATAATATATTCTAAATATATTTATTTAAATAAATTTTGAATCGTAGGGATTATGCTTATATGGAGGTTTATATTTTGCTTTTATCACTGTTAATATTTTCTCATGTTAACTATTTTATGAAAACTGGATATTGATGCATTCAACAAATATTGTGACAGCTATTCCATAGTATTTACTTACTATATTTACTACCCTGTTTTTAGATAAAACAGGGTCTTGCTATTATAAATTATGCCTTGAAGAATATTTCTGTAAGTAAATTTTTTGCTTATCTTTATCTATATCCTTTAATAGATTTCTAGAAATAGAACTATTAGATCAAAGTATATGTGAATCTTTTTAATATTCTTAATGCACATTGACAAGTTGCTTTTCATAAAAGGTAAGTTAATTTATACTCCTAAAGCCATGTTTGAGAATTATTATTGCAGGAAATTTGAAGAATTTTTTATTATTTACTTAAGTATTTTTTCTCTATTCTCCTCTTAAGTGACTATGATTTTTGGCCTTTAGATTTTATCCTATGGATTCCAGACTCTGCAAATTTTAAAATATTTTTTCTTGACATTTAATACTTTTTTATTATTTTATTCTCAAATTCTTCAAATCCTCTGTTATTTCCAATCTGCTGGTAAGTTCATAGAGCAATGTTTCTTAAATATCAGATACTGGATTTTTCATTTCTAAAATTTCCATTGTAATCTTATATTTATTTCTCTTCTGAGGTAAAAACTTTATCCATTCCAAGCACACTTTTCCTTTAAAAATACTTATCTGCTAAGTCTAACACCTGGGTCATCTTGGAGTTCATCTCCACTGATTAATCTTTCTTTTGAGTATTAGTGTTTTCTTGTATGCTTGCATATCAAGTAATTTGCAGTTATTTGTTGGTTATTCTGATGACTCTAGAATTCAGTTATAGTCCTCAGAACAATGTTAATATTTTTTTGTGTTAGCAGACTGAACTCAAATTCCAAACTCTTATTTCCCTGGAGCAGGGTTTCGTTATCTTCTAGTTTCTGCTGTTGCCATTGGAAAGCCTTAGTGCTGTTTGATTCTTTTTTATATGACCCGCTCCCCATGGACACTATTAGAATCTTTTCTCTCTTACTATTGATCTAAAATTAATGCCAGTATGCATTAATTAGACCTTTTTTAACTCATTATTCTTAGTAATCAGTCGATTTTTTCAACTGAGAGGTTTTCTTTAATTTGGAGAAATTACCTTTGTCAGTTTTCTCCATTTCATTCCTAAAATATTCTTTCTTTCCAGAACTGTGGGGCAGATATTGACTTTCTTGGAATCACCTCCTATTTTCTCATTTTTCTCTCCTATCTTCCTGTCTGCCTTGGTTTTGTTTTTTTGGTTTTTTTGGTTTTTTTGCTTTTTTTTTTTGGTTTTCTAATAGTCTTTTGGAAGTGAAATTTTAGAAAATAAAAGCCTGAGTGATTTCCTGCATTTTAATTTTCAACCCTTCTATTAAATTTGTTTGTTCTATAATTTCCAAGAACGTGTTATTCTCAGCTTTACTTATATAGCTTGTCCTATCTATGCAATGTTTTATAGATAGCTTGTCCTATCTATGCAATGTTTTTTCTTACCTCTGAGAATATTAACAGTAGTTTTTGAAGTTTCTGTTTTTCCTGGTGAACTGTCTCTATTTTCACCAAGTTCAAATTTCTTTTTTTCCACAACAAAGCAATGAAAAGCTACTAAAAGCTCTCAGTGTATATGATCAGGGCTGATCAATTGATGATCTCCACTGTGGAATGAAAGCTAGGAACCCTGAGGGCATATTAGTATCTTTGGGTCTTTTCTTTTGGGTGGTTATTTTCCTTAGGAATAAATCTTTATCTGTTTGGGAAGAAGGGATAAGGGCATTAAACCAGTTTGACTGTCAAAGTGGGGGACCAAGTGGAAGGAGAGAAAAAAGACCCATCACACAATGTATAGGCTTTCAACTTCTACCCCATTTATCTTTATGGTATTTTTACTCTTAACTATATTTCAAGCCCCCTAGACCAGAGTCACTGTACTTCAGCCTCTCCAGTAGAGTAACCTCCAGTCCTCTCAAGATAGAGAGAAACAAGTTGGGGCTCTGGAAATAGAGGAAAAATGTCTTGGAATTTTACTGCTCTGCAGAGGTTTAGCCAGCCAGGTTTCCTGTCCTACCTGCAATCCTGCCTGGCTCCTCTAACCCTCAACCTTTCAGAAGTTCTGTTATGTTTCAGCTTAACCCTCTCCTCTCCCCTCCTTAGCAAATATCCAGGCTTGAATTTTCTAGGTGGCTAGTTGAATTTGAACCCAGATATCTGCTTTCTAGGCTTCTAAATGTTGGGACATATGTTTATTATCATGCCTCTTAATTTTCCTGCCACCACATAGTTTTATGGGTTTTATATATATATATATATATATATATATATATATATATACTTTATAATTTTTGAAAGACTTCAATAGGGAATGTAGATTTTTTTCAATCAGCAGCTTAAATCAGTTCTCTAGTGTTGAAATGTCTCATTTAATAATATTTAGCAATATTTTAATAGGTAAAAAATAGGATACTATTGTAATTTTCAATGATTCAGTATTCAATTTGGATGGATGTTTTTCTGTATGTTTTGTTAATCCTTTGCATGATTTTGTAGAATTTTCATGTCTTGATCAACATTTTTTTATGTAGGGACATTATAAATCTCCTTTAGTTGATTAAATTTTTTTAAATGATCACATTTTTAAAATTTAGTTTAAAACATCTTCTTCTAATTCATAATGCTACTTCATGTTTATCTCTCTTTATTTATTTATTCATTTGCTTGCTTATGGTAGAAAAAGTGTAAAATGCTGCAAAGCCAAAAGAAATTAATACATACCTGTATTCTCATTATCTAAAGATAGTATTAAGTATTAGTTTATAACTTCTTAGTCTTATTTACTTGAATGTGTGGTTTTATTGTGTACATTTTGTTTCATATTTTGCCTTATATTTAAGTAAACATCTAAATTTCAAAAGAAAAACATTTTTCTTAGAAAAATACAAAGGTATGTCAAGGAAAGATCAGTCATCTTTCCATTTTCTCTTCTGTTCCGTATTTTGACAGTCTTGGTTGAGTTTGTGTTAGCACCCCAGTGGGTACCTTCCTATACCTCTTTTCATGAGATCAGTTGAAGACATTACCTACTAGTTCTTTTCTTTTTTCACTTGAAATTACTTAATGGTAATTTATTAGGTTTTTAGTTATACAACTGTAGTAAGCAGAATAATTGGCCCTCCCAAAGATCTCTGTGCTCTGTTTGCCAGAACCTCTGAATATGTTGCTTCACATGACAAAGGGCTTGACAGACACGAACAAGGGAGCAGCCCTTGCACTGTGGATATTATTCTATATTACCTGGATAGGCCATGGCTAGTCAAATGAGTTCTGGAAACTGGATACCCTTCCCTCGCTGGGTCAGAGAAATGAGGCAGAGGAAGAGGGATTTAAGCACACAGTGACCCAACCTGCCTCCATTTAAAAATGGAGGAAGGAAGTCACAAGTCAAGAATGCATATAGCTTCTAGAACCTTGGATTTGTCATCAGCTGACAGCAAGGAAATGCAGACTGCAGCCCTCCAACTACAAGGAACTAAATTCTTCCAGCAATCTGAATGAGCAAGGGAACAAGTCTTCCCCTAGAACCTCCACAAAAGAGCATTGCCTTGCCAATGCCTCTGTGTTAGTGCATTGACACCCACGTCAAATGCCTGACCTGTAGAATTATAGAACAATAAACTTGTGTTGTTGATGCCACTACATTTGTGGTGATTTGTTGGGTCAGTGAAATAAAACCTAATGCATAATAGTCCATGGTTTTTATATGTGGAACCCAGCCCCTCTTGCTGTATATTCAAGTTGCTTTAATTTCTCTGCGACTCAACAATGTTATAACAAGTGTGATACACTTTCACTTTTTTCTGTGATAAATTACTAAAAATGAAATTTCTAGGTGAAAGGCTATTTTTACATAAGGATATTTTGTTATAGTTTATTATTACAAACTATAATAGTTCACTACCAGTTTTCCTTTATAAAAGGTTGTAGCAGTTCATTCTCCCACTTGCAATTTATGAAAATTTTCATCACTGCTATTCAGATAGGTGTAGTAGATGCTTTGGGAACTGATGTTGCAGTAAAAGAGATGAACAAGGTGCATCAGGACATGAGAGTCCTAAAGTAAAAGAAAAAGCTACCCTAATATGGCATTAATAAGGCCACAGACCTTTTAAAATGTTAATCTACGTTATAGCAGAAATGCTGGCAGTAGTTTCTAAAGTCTGACAGACAGTCATTGGAAAGTCAAGTATTCTCTCTCAACAGCCCTTAAATTATTTAATAATGTGAGATTAAAAGAAGTAAAGGCAATGAGTTCATTTCTCTCCTTGATTCAGTTGGTTATGGAAATGTTTTCTCCACTAAGCTCAGAAAGCGGTAGAGATGGATCAATGGAGAATACTGTATGCAGCCTTAAGCAGCTTTTATAGAATTATTTACACAGAAATACCTGCTGATTTTAGAAAATATAATCAAGAATTGTAAGGGGAAATGACCTTCTTTCTACTTTGCAGGCTCTTTGGTTTTTGTCAGTAGAACTCCCTAGATAAAATTTAATTTTAAGCTAAATTTTGTTTATTTGGAAATTTAAATTATCTTAGTATTAAAGATACTCTGTGTATTTAAAATATTAAACTTACTCAAGTGAGGCATTAAGAATTTGGAACTAAA